AATCAATATCGATTAAAAGAAACATCGAAAGTATGTCTACTAGTGCACAAGAAGAAGTTGAGGATGACGATTTGGATGACACAATAGGGATGTTTGAGGCTGCATATGATTACTTTGACGATAATCCACAAAATTTCGATGAGCTACTAGGTGATGCGACGAAACCATTATATCAAAATTGTAAGAACTTTACCAAAATATCTACATTATTAAAGTTATATAATTTGAAAGCGAAATTTGGATGGAGCGATAGAAGTTTTACTGAGTTGTTGGCATTAGTTCGTGATATGTTACCAAGTCCTAATGAAATTCCAAATTCTATGTATCAAGCAAAAAAAACTTTATGTACTCTTGGGATGAAGTATGAGAAGATTCATGCTTGCCGCAAGGATTGTTGCTTGTTTAGAAAAGAACTATCAGATGCAGATGAATGCCCCATTTGCGGAACATCAAGATGGAAGCTTCGTAAAGATTCAAAGGAAGCAATGAAAAATGTTCCGGCCAAAGTCATGTGGTACTTCTCTCCAATTCCAAGATTTGAACGAATGTTTAGAAGCAAAGAAATATCGAGTTTGTTATCTTGGCATGCCCAAAAAAAGAGTAAGTGATGGATATATACAACATCCAGCAGACTCAATTTCGTTGAAAGAAGTAGACAAATTGTGGCAAGAGTTTGGTCTAGGGCCTAGAAACCTTCGTCTTGCTCTTTCAACAGATGGGGTCAATCCACATGGTGAACAAAATAGTAAATATAGTTGTTGGCCAGTTATGTTGGTGACGTACAATCTACCCCCGTGGTTGTGCATGAAGTGAAAATTTTTGATGTTGACTGCATTAATATCTGGTCTTAAACAACCAGGAAATGACATAGATGTTTATTTAACTCCATTAGTTGATGATTTGAAGAAGCTTTGGAATGATGTAGTTGAATGTTTTGATGCATATCAAGAACGGTGTTTTACACTTAAAGCTATATTACTGTGAACTATTAATGAGTTTCCTGCGTATGGGAATTTTTGTGGTTGTGCGGTAAAAGGATATCACGCATGTTCAATTTGTGGGGAGAAAACTTCATCCATTTATTTGCCAAAAGGGAGGAAGATGGCGTATCTCGGGCATCGTAAGTTTTTACCTCATAAATTTGTTTTAATGGCTAAACTTCAAAAATATAATGTCTCAAATTTTATGCACTCTATGATTTCGTAGTACATTTTCTGACCCTAGTTTTATGACAAAGTTCATATAACGTTTTGTCAGATCGAATTCTTATAGGATTGAATTTTACAAGTGCTTCGAACTTAATCGCAATTCAGTTTGAAAGGTTTAGTTGAAAATGAATAGATATTGGATTAAGCTAAGAGATAGGTTTTCAAGAGACTGTAGAAGGAGCTTCACTATTTATGGAAGTGGCCAAATGTCATGTTAACGAGTTGGGAAAAACAAGATCTGTCCATACAAAAAATGTCAAAATGTAATGTGGCATCTGTTGAGGCAAACAAACAAAGAGTTGAAAGACAAAAGACGGAGCTAAGACAAACAAAAGAAGAGTCGAGAGAGACGAGAGAACGACTAAATGTGTCAAATGAACAATTGAGCAAGAATGAAGAAATGTAATAATATGTGGGAGCATGAAGAAGAAATGTGTAACGAGTTGAACATCTTCAGGAGCACAATTGCACATATCATGAGTCAAGAAAGCTCAGGATCTGATTCGTCGTTTGGATAGGTATGAATCAGCTCCTTCTTTGAACATGTATATATAGTTTTTCTCCTGGGTGAAGTAATTGTGTGGCTATCATGCAGTTAGGGTAGCCAGGAAATAGTTAAATTTAGTACTTGTTGGGTGAAGTAATTGTGTGGCTATCATGTAGTTATGGTAGCCAGTTTGAGACAACGACCTATCATTGTCGTGTTTATGTTGTTCGCATGATTTATGCTTATTTGAAATGAAATTAGTCATAGTTTGAGACAATTATGTTGCTCACTCGTCGTTTAAGGTTCATTTGTTGAGTTTTTTTTTTAACTGAACATGTGATTTGTGTTTTATTATTTACTTTGTTTTATTTTCATTCATAAAAATATAGGAGATTGGAGGAGAGAACAGAGTGAAGGCTGGAGAAGAAAATGAAGAGAGGGGCATGGGAGGAAGAAAAGTCATGTAGTTAGGGGGTTGAAGTTAGTGATAGTAAATAGATTGTGTGATGAAAGTTTTATGCTATTTTTTTAATTGATAGTTGTGATAGTAAGTGTGTGTGGTTAGTGGATATATATGAGATGGGTGAATTATCGGGAGGTGAGGTTTTGATGTTGGAAACTTAGAATAATCTCAGACAGATGAGATTCGGTCTTTAGTGTGAGTTGGTGAGTTGGGGATCGGATGGATACTGACTTTGATGAGTAATGGATTTGTTATTTATTTTGATTGCTTCTTTATTGAATTTACAATGCGATGAGGTTTGTTTTGATTGAATTTATGCTTCATTTGTATTATAAATGATAATGGTAGTATTGAAGAGGTTGAGTTTAGTTTAAAGTTTTTTTTTTTTTTGTCTTAGTTTAGCATCTTATCACATTACCCAACTAGCCATACTCATTTCTTGAAGGAATTGCACAAATTGATCAAGATATTGGAGTTGTTGAGAAATATTTTGGCTTCTCATTGTTTGTTTTCTATTATGAAAAGAGAGAAATTATTCGTGTTTGATATCTCTCTAAGATTCTTTGTATTGTATTAAGGACTTGTGACAGTATAAAATTTTACTTTTCAGTCTTTACCTAGTTCGGATTACTAAACATTTATAATGGTTTTGTTGTTTTTTCATGGACTTTTGGGAGTTAATGTTCTGCAAAGCTTCATGTGTTAGAAGATTAGATAGAGTCGGAAATATAGTCTTGCAGATAGGTGCAACTTTCCTCAACTTTTGTAATGTACAGTTTAAACTCTCCTGATTTGTAAGAAGATTATTTTATTTAATATAAAATCATATTATTTGATATTTTAATAATGTGAAAAAAAAGATTCCCAACGTTTTTTTAAAAAAAAAAGTCGGGAAAAATCACTTTGCTGACTTTTGTATATAGTGGGGAAAAATCAACTTTTCCCGACTTTTTGTCAAAAGCGTTAGGTGTGACCTCTCCCGATGCGCTTCTCCCGACTTTTTTGCCGACGCAAAAATTTTGTCGAGAAATATTTTTCTCAA